TAAGTGATTAAATACAAGATTAATAGTGGTTATTAAGATTGATGTTGTTTGGAATTGGTAAAATGTAAAATATAATAAATATAATCAGAATATGAACTTGCATAATAATTATGCATGCACTGTATTTTTCCTCTTCGGTATTGCAAAAGGAATGTTGTGATTGGTTGTCAAGGCAGCCAATCAGAATTTAGCATCCTCGTCTCTGATTGGCTGGAATTATGGCATATTGTAATGCTGGGTTGTGTTGAGCACGCGAGCTGTTGGTATTTAGAGAGCACTGAGGGCGGGCATCAGGTGAGCAAGCTAGTGAAACGTTGCACGCGCAAAAGAGAAGGTCTGCACATATCCAAAAACTTATTTTAAATGCAAAATTGATTTTCGTGCACTCGAAATACTTTTTTCTTTGCGAAACGAACGTTTTCTCCACAAAACTCAGATTGCGCGCGTGCAAAATGCACTTTTGTGCGCTCAAAATATGATCTTTCGCGCACAGAAATATGGCAGAAATGTAATCCCATATGAGAGCGCCATGGCTTGTCGGACATAGCAACAGTAACTAAGGGGGGCGGGTCTTTGTGAAGGGTCAACTGGGGCATTAAAATGCTACACAAGTAAAAGCACTTAAAGGGATAGTTTGCCTAAATATTAATATTCACCCTTATGTCATTCTTAACCAGTGTGTCCACTGTTTTTGTCCATACAGAAATTCAGTGGGATCCAAAACAAAATCAGGTTTCCATTGACGTGAGGGTGAGTAAATGATGACAGAACTTTCATTTTTGGATGAACTATCCTTTTAAGAACATTCATATGACATCAGTTGTGTTTTTGAATATGTTCTTTAGGTAATTTTTCAGTTTTTGTGTTTTTCACATTTTCCCGTGGAGCTTGATCATACTGGACATTTAAATGAAACACAGAATACTGAAGTACTAAATGCTGTGGTAAAATTCTGACATTATGGATATTCCTGGTAATAGCTTTTGTAAAAAGCCTCACAATAATTGCATTCCAATTGTACTGTTTCATTTAACAGGAAAGAGAATGGTTTCATGAAATGAAATTTGAACCCTTAACCAGCCTACTCAGTACCTGTGATTGTGGCATGCTGTTTCCTAGTAAATGGAAAGAAAAGCTGTTTGAACCCATCAAATAACAACAAACAACTTCACACACTCTTAAAGGAACAATTCCAAAAAAAAAAAAAAAATTAGCATTCTTATTTCCTCACCCTCATGTTGTTGCAAACCCTCATTTTTATTTCTTGTCTTCTGTGAGACACAAAAAAGGGGATTTTTGAAGAATATCCTGGTCACTTTCTTCAGTATAATAAAAGTGAATTTGATATTGTGGAGCAATCAAAGCATCATAAATGTGGTCTGTATGAATCAGTATCTATATTTCAAGTCTTTTGAAGTCATACAATATTTTCGTGTGAGAAAGTTTTAGTCTTTATTCACTCACAGTCTCATGTGACTTGTAAAACATTGCAGCCGGATCACTGATTGGGTGAGCTGAACTCGACTGCTTCAGAATTAATCTTTCAGGATTCAGAATGAACCGATTCACTGAAAAAACTCAAAAGTCTGTCTCAAATGAATGACTCGCTACTTCTCTCATGAGCTTTCATGAACTATAATGGATGTCAAAGGCATTCAGTCAATACTTCCTTCTGCAAAAAGAAAGTCATTTGGGTTTGGGTGAGGGTGATGAGTGAACTGTCCTTTTAAATGCATCAGTACATTTTAAAAGGAAGTCGAAAGAAAAACAAAAAGTAAAATCAAACCCAGACAGCTCAACTGTCACTATCATGGTTTTATTAGTCGTAATGAGAAGCCCACCCAAGCCTCAGCGATGGTGGATAAATGTACTTTATTCACATCTCATACATATATTTGCATATATTCTTATAAAATACAGAATACAGTAGACTGTCACCCAGTCAATGACTGGGCCACAGTTCCTTGTTTACTTTTGGCACCCTGACTGGCTTCCTGACTAGCTGTGTTCTGCAGTCTTACAAATATGATGCAGGATCCAATTGCGGCAGTTGGGATGTGCCAAATCTGAAAAATCCTGGTATGGTTCCCTTGTACGTCCCTCTCATCTCAGCATCACAAAACAGAGCAACAGTGCCTTCCCAGTAGTTTCAGGGCAGTGGTGGGAATTTCACTGGCTGGCTCATGTGGTCTGTGGTTTGTGTTTTGTGGGGGGGGGTCTTAGCTCACTTTTTCACACGCAAAACTCATACAACATGTAGGAATGTTCCACTTATGAAGATTTCTATGGTGCAGCTTATTTGTCACAATTACTTATTGACTCTTTACATGGAACCTTATCAGAGCACCAACAAAGACGCCAAAGGAAGCTTCATCAAGACAGACTGAGAACTTCTCCAGTTCACTGAGGTTCCTGAATCAATTCGAGTGTAAAAATAAATGTAGCATGTTTATCATCTGTGACCTCATGTTGTAACATTACCAGCGCTGCCCTGAACTACACTGAAATGGTCTGGAGCGGATTACAGGAGATCTGTGATGGAAAAAGCAAATACTTGCACTGATATGCCCCACCGAGAGCTTCAGAATGACTCAGATTGTCGGACTAACTGCATGAAAATCGGTGGAACACTACAATGAGAGACATTTCCATTGCTGCCAATGTTAATACGAATTTTTGTAAACATCCACCTTAACCAGGACAAGATAGTACTCACCAAATGTCAACTTCACATTACGTACGGTATCTTAAAAAAAAACTGATGTGCTCTAATTAAGAAACGAAGACTGGGCAGACAACAGGTTATTCCCCACAACACAGGATATAGATCATTACAGCCAGTTGGAGAAAGCAGGGTACAAATCAGATCTGAAAACCTCTGAGTTTTGTCTCAAAATCATTAGCACTTATCTATATGAGTCGTAGCTATCATAAATCAGTATGTACAGACATGTAAGCGCAAACCATGTAAGACGTCAGATGTGAACATGCATAAATTGATTCGTACTCAGCAGGAGACCGAAGCCGGAACCTGATCGTGTTATGCTTTTCTTGGAAAGTCAACTGAAATGTCCTAGAGGAATTTTCTTGAATATAACTAGTGCAATATCATTATTATATATATTTTTTTCTGTAATAAATATATGGCTGGTTATCCAAAAAGAATCTTTACAGGGAGATCCATGCTATTAAAAGGCACAAAAATACAAGTAGAAGCATACATGTAGGTTTTATATTACGGTTACTTTGTACTGCTAGCGAGATCTTCCGACGGCGTCAAAGGACCACTGAATTTCTGTATTCAAACAAGTCGCTTTTCGTAGTGAGAGGTGTACCGTTTAGTTTTTTATGTAATACTAGTTGAGTTCATTTTGACCCATATTTTAAGTCTTACAGATGCATCTCACTCTAGTACGGCAGAAAAATCCGATTTTAATTCTTAATTAAAATCTACAAACTATAAAACTCTCATGACCATTGACAAAAGCTGAGTCGTCTATAAAATTAGCAGCCACCAGGAATTTTCTTTGACTAAAGGACTTTAAAAACACTGAAACAGACTTTATAAAAAGCCATAATGTGAAACTAACTACATTAATCGCGGATGTACTGAAAAGACTTTAATATTTGATAAACAGCATTAAAAACAAGATTCACGTAACTGCGTCTAGCAGCTGAGAAGCTATATTGGTTCTTACAAGGTAGCGGCTAGTATGAACGTACGGAAATACATAAGCGTTTAAGGATTGCGGGATATGTTTTAAGGTTGAGACGATCGTGTATTCGTCATCTCAATCGATATTTGTTGCCATGCAGGTGTCATGTCATATTCAGTAATAAATAAATTAAGTCCACACCACCAGTCTATAGTGACAACAAAAACGATTCACAAATCAGATGATACAATCTGAGAATGACTTTACTGATTCAAGCACTCAAAAAACTGAGAAGGCGTCTATCTGGACACCCAGACCAAAAGAAAGAGAGAGAACAAGGACGAAGAAAGAAAGAAGGAGATGGACCAGTGCAGCTGGAGGTAGTCAATTCTGCTTTAACTCCTTTTAGATAGCCATCTGCTCTCAAGCAACAATATGGCTGCCCTCCTTCTGAACTGCGGCTCCTGCGCTCGAAAAAATGCGCTTGGCTATTTGACATCTCCGGTTGAATCCAATGGCGTGTTGCTTTCGTTCTGTTTTTCATCGAATTCCTCCTGCACAGTCTCCTTGCAGTCTCCAAGAGGAGAAGGAAGCTTTGAAGAGCATGAAGAGTGACTCTCAGAAGGAGCAATCTTATCTACCCCAAAGGGCTCAGCAGTGGTTGATAAGAGAGGGCATCACTTCTCAAAGAGCAGTTTGTTGCGTTTCAGGCCAGTATGCGTCCTTCACAACTAGAAGTTCAGTAAGAGAATCTTTCGGAGGTGGTGCTTGTTTGTTCCTGTCCGTTGTGCCGTCTGAAGGAGTGACTGAAATGTTGTTAATAAGAAACAAAATTATGGCTGCGGCCTCTGTGAAACTTTATTCATCGATAACAGTATGTGGTAAAGCAGGTTAAGTTAATACTTTATTTAAGAACATTATTTACCTGCGTTGGTTAAGCTGGGGCTGGATTTACACTGCCATGATAATATTTAATCTGTTTCTGGAAAAGGAAAACAAGAAGTTGGTGTTAATTGGTGTGTTGAAACATCTGTCAACTATCCCTTGGATGCACACAATAGTGATGACTGAAGACATTTATATGATAACTCACCTTTTTCAGGGTCATCAGGCAAACCGTTACGTTTCTCTAGAGAAAGCCAGAAACAGAGAAGCATTAAAAGTCTCAGATAGAAACCGTTCATTGTTAGATGCTTAAAAAGTCAGAAAATCTCCTTTTCTCTCCGCCCCATGAAAGATCTGATCTGTCCGCTTTTAGAAAGAAAGAGCTTGCGCTTGGGAAGATCTGAAGATTGCTCTGTAATCAACATGGTGACAATTGGACTTCGATTCTGTTCACCCTTTCATGCTGTTCACTAGGGAGCATCTCTTGGTTTTGAAACTCAGCTGAGACTCTGTCATAATACTGCTGACAAAAACATGTTGCCTCTCTTGTTTTGTCCAGCGGCTTCGTATGAAAAGACGTGGAACACACACACACACATCCACCCACACACACACACACACACATGCGCAAAATTGCAACCAAAGCTGCCACAAGAGATGTGATTTAAAAGCGGGTGTTAACATCTAAAACCTCAGCTGCAAATGGGCGGCCTTCCACAAACGACATTCTGTGGTTTCTCAATAGCTTCATTAAAAACGACACAGACAACACTCTGCAATATGTGAACCTTCGCAAGGCCTTTTAGACTGGTTATGACATGCGCCTCACCATTTGTACTATGTTGCGCTGACGTTGTCGACGCTGTTGTAGTTGTCGTTACTGTTGTTTTTGTGGATGTGGGACATGGTGGGGGCTCACAATCCTCAACATCCCTTGACGAATTGGCAGTGTTGAAAAAGTCCTCCACAAATTCAAAATACTTTGCCGTAAGCCACATCTCATTTACGTAGTGACAATCGAATTCTAGCATTGAATCCTCCTGATGAATCAGAAAAAAATGGTTTCGATTTACAAGTGGATCATTTGTTGCAATGCTTTACTTAAAAATAATTTTAAAAAATGAATATTTTTTTTAAAAACAGTTTTGAATAGAAATATGAATAAATAGAAAAAATTAATTATTCTAAATTAATAATAGTTTTATAAACCTTGCTCACTGGTTGCAATGTTACTTAAAACTAATACAAATAAATAGTTTAAAAAATAGTTTTAAATAAAAATATAAATTTAAGTAAAAAATAAAAGATATATATATATACATTTTAATAATAAATATTCATTTTATAGAAATTATAATTGAAAAAGAAATGAATAAAACCTTAATAAAACATACCAGATTTTGCACTGCTTTACAAGATGAATAGTTAGTTTCTTGTTCATTGGTTACAATGTTTTACTTCTAAATAAATCAATATTTTTATTTATTTTAAACTATTTAAAAAAAAGAAATTAGGGAACGTTGCAGATTGTACTGTTTTTTTCCAAATCGTTTTACAAAAGTTCCTCACTCAGTGTGATATTCATAGAATTGATTTTTATAGCTGACTAAAAATTTAGTAACAAAATAACAAAACATACTAGATATTTCAAGATTTCTGCATGAAATACAGTTGTTATGGTGATCACTTGGTTGAGGTAACTTACCAAGCCATGTCCAATGTGATACCTCATCTCTTGCAGTATTTGGACCAAAGTGCCTATATTATCTTTATTGGAGGATATGTTCCCAAACTTCTGCGCCAGGCCTTTTAAGCTCACCTCCAAGTGAAATACATTTAGCTTCACCCAGCACATACCACTCTTGAAGAAAAATAAAAGACATTACTAGATTATCACTGTGTTTGCTTTTATTGCCATGAACGATTCAATAAAAACGGAATAATAACAACTCACCACTTCTTTAGGTATATAACGTAATGTAATCTTGTAGTCTTTTGGAATATTCTGTTTCTAATAGGAGAGAAAGAAAGCCGGTTCTAAGTGCCAAAAACTACAATGCCCATGGTCATTTCATCATCAATAAAGACGCAAAAATTAAAATTTACTAGTAAGTAACCACAATGTAAACATGGAATTACTCTAATTTGCTTTATAACCTTGGCTAAGGTATAATTATGGAAGCCACAAACATATGTTACATATCTACTTCCAAACATTTTAATCACTGGTTATCAACCTTTCAGCATATGGCACGCATAGTGATGATGTGGCATCATACTTCATAAATATTTTGCTAAAGTAAAGCAAATGCCATTACACAACTCATATGTTCCAATAAAGCGATAAACTCAATAATCCTTTCAGGCTGATGATTTTTGATGATCCTAAAAAGACTGTCTGCAGTGAAGCATTTGATTTATGCATACGACTCTATTATCATACTCTGAACCACATGTCTGGGCCTTTCATTCCAAAACACATGAAATACATTTCAGCTCTTTCCCCCAGAGCATCGATAAATCAGCCTTCGCTGTTGTCTTTCACAAAATACGCATGGAAAAAAAGCCCCGGCACCGGAGAGATAAGAATGTCCAAGCTCTTACCAACAAAGAAATCTTCTTGATGTCATCTGTAATGGGATTTCCTATTTCACTGGAATAGGCAGCAACTGTCATGTACAGCAATAAATGGACACAGGTGCATATCCAAATCTGAAAAACAAGAGGTAAAAAGATCAGTCTAAATGATCATATCGAAAATCGTTTAATTATACAGATCTGGATTGTGTTCAAATCTCATTGCTTAGAGGAGTATTAAGCAAAACGGAAATAGTTTTCACTGCTATTTTGAGAACAACCGGGTTAGTTTTGATAGAATAAAGGAGTGTTTTTGTCTATCAAATTCCCATCCATCGCTATAAAGCTTGTTGTCCCATGGTGGCTTAAAGCTTAAAGCTTTTGCTCCCCTCTTCCCAGACCTGCGATTTGAGCTTGTTGCATAACATGAGGCAGATTTGCTCTTAACCCTGATTACAAGGGTGATCCCAGACAAACAATGCATGAGCCTTGTCGGGAGAAACGGGCTAGCGATTGAAAGAGCTTCAGCTTTGCTCGGAGAGGGGGAGCAGAGCAGAGGTGAAGAGCAGACTCATCTGAGGACAGGCTGTGTAGCTGCGAGATGCTCAGAGGGTGTAATTGCACAATTACAAAATTGATGCTCTGCAATTACATATTTAAAAAAATCTGGCTGGTTTTGGTATCAACTGGATGCGTTTCTTGGGAGGCATTTTACTTCAAAAACAGCTACAGCACAAAACAGGGGTCTCGTTTTTAAAGTCAGCACGAATCAAAACTTTTTTGATGTTTGTTTCTGGTCTTAATGTAAATGATTCATCAGTGTATGCTATTCCAAAGTTAAATTTTACATCGAAATGTAAAAATATTCTTATAAAATGACTGCTGACGTCACTAAGACTGTGCTGGCTATTGGATAATGTTAGCCATTGTTTACTTTTAGCAAACTATTCTATTTAGCTGTTGTTTTAGAATGCTAGCATTCTTTTTAGCTGATGTTTTAGCAAACTTACAAGCTTTGTCTCATTTCGAAGGCTGCGCCCTCTAGAGGTCGCATTCGAAGGCTGCATACGTCATCAAGGCAGTCTAGTAGTCTTTGTTTTAGCAAACTAACATTCTATGTAGCTGTTGTTTTAGTATATTAGCACTTTATTTAGTCCTTTAGCAAACTAGCATTCTTTTTAGCTGTTGTTTTAGCATCAATTTAACATTCTATTTAGCTGTTATTTTAGCAAACTAGCATTTCATTAGGTAATGTTTTAGCAAACCAGTATTTTATTTGGTTGTTGTTTTAGCAACCTAGCTTTCTATTTACCCGCTGTTTTAGCAACTAGCATTCTATTAAGCCATTGGGTGCGTCTCAATCAGCTCCCTAGTTCAGTAGTCAGGGCACTGATCAGGGAGTCGGCCATTTTAAGGGCTGTCTCAATTGCGAAATCCTTCGAGCGCACTGGAACATTCGCTCCCTAAAAAATCCCACAATGCACCACAAAAACTATGGAGCATCGATGCTCACTATGCTCCCTTACTGGAAATTATGTCACATTTCTGAAGTGCAAAACATAAACCACAAGAGCCAACTCGATATATATAATGACACGCGAAGATTTGAAAAGGCAAACCGTTTTTTTTAGTATATTTCAGCATAAACACACTTCGCTAGACAGGTAGTGAACACATCTAGTTAACACTTATAATTAATATTCGGCTGAAATGTTGTAAGAACATGTAACAGAGCAATGTGAGAATAAAAAATAATATCAAAAAGAGATCGATCCAGCCTGTTGTTGTTTAATACCAGCGGTGAGGTTCTACAATGTTGTCCGTTGACGTTGTACGCAGTCATGTCGCCGCAAATTGAGAAATCACTGTCCCAATGTGCAGTGAGCCAGGGTACTTAACAGTGACTGTATTTGTGTACATTATATACTGATTTACAAGCTCGGGAGCTGACTGAGATGCGCCCATTGTTTTAGTATGCTAACATTCTATTTAATTGTTGTTTTAGCAAACTAGCATTCTGTTTAGTCATTGCTTTAACAAACTAGCTTTTAGTTTCATGGTACATAATGTCCACTTTGCATTATTCAAAATAAAGCAAAATAAAATGGCCCACTACATTTTTTCTCATTATTGGATATGCTGATTCACTCATGAATCAGAATGTCACCTTAATTAAAATACGTTGCAAACCACAATTAAAGTCGACTTTAAAAGCTGAACTGTTTTTAACTTGACATAACATTTTAAAATGCAAAGCTAGTGACAGGACATTCAAGAAAACATTGAGACACAGCTCAATACAAATACCAAACATATTTCACCTGAATATAGTTGGAGCAGTAGTGCTTCTAAGGTGATGTATTTACAGACTGAATAAGAACAGTATAAAGTTAATGCACAGCATGCCATTTAAAGCACCTCCACTAAACAAAAAATTTAATATAGGAAAATCTAGATAAACTAGCCTGCCTTACTAAAATTGTAATAGTCAACTCATGAACCATCTTTGATTCCATGCTACAAGTTTTTTTGAAGACCATATGCTGGAACGTCTTGGCTGCTGATATGAAAAGTAAAGCCATAAGGAAGAAGCTTGTTTCATCATCGATAGTGAGTCAAAGACCTGTTAAATGGACACAATTCATACTGCTATGCAGGTCATGAGCTTTTTAAAGCGAATCTACAAATTTATAATATATAATAAATGATGCAATAGTTGTGATTTCCCCATCACAAGAGTTTCCAAAATGCATCTTCTTTCCAACCAGCTCTTCTAAAAACATTCTTCTTGGTTAAACAGGACATGTATATTTGCATCAAAACAATAAATAAGACTGGCCACATGTAAATGCTTAGGTACTGCTTTGAATTAATGGACTGCAATATGTAATTCAAAGTAAACAATGCTAGTACACATGATGGTATCTGGAATTTATTCTGCACTCAAACAAGCAGTTAATCTATTGGGAGTATTTCAGACAGCATCACCAGTGACTGTAGAGAGCTCTTGCGTGTTGTGAACCAGATGAGGATTTGTTGAAATTTGATGAATGAAACAACACATGGAAGCCCAGATGTTTTATTGGTTATATTATTCATAATTTGACTTCCTCCAAAACTTTAAAGTGCCTTCATAGCCAAGAACTACGACTCAGCAAGTACTTTGGACACAACAACAAACGTTTGTCTGTCTCCGATTTAAACGTGAACAATTCAAACTCACTTGTGATCATATTCAGCACTGACCTCCATAAATCAATAGTGTAAGCGAAGCCAACCACTGAACTGATCAACTGAACAACAAGTTACTCCCAAACCACTGGCATGAGCTGCCTACGTAGGCAGCATTTAAAGGGATAGTTCACCCAAAAATGAAAATTCTGTCATTAATTGCTCACCCTCATGTCGTTTCAAACCCGTAAGACCTTCGTTCATCTTCGGAACACAAATTAAGATATTTTCGATGGAATCTGAGAGCTGTCTGACCCTGCATAGACAGCAACGCAACTGAAATGTTCCCAAGTCCAGAAATGTAGCAAGGAGGATCTGTAAAATAATCCATGTGACATCAGTGGTTCAACCGACAACCGCAATTATACGAAGCTACGAGAATACTTTTTGTGCGCAAAAAAAAA